TTGGCTTTCAATGCAAAAACTGAGACCTGAGACAGTGGGTCATTCTAATACCTTCTGAGTGTGTGTGTGTGTAATCTTTCAACAAAACCAAGATCATAATTTTTTCCTTAATAGTATGTTATGCTCGGGGCGCCTGGGTGGCTCAGTCGTTAAGCGTCTGCCTTCGGCTCAGGTCATGATCCCAGGGTCCTGGGATCGAGCCCCGCATCGGGCTCCCTGCTCAGCGGGAAGCCTGCTTCCCCCTCTCCCACTCCCCCTGCTTGTGTTCCCTCTCTCGCTGTGTCTCTCTGTCAAATAAATAAAATCTTTAAAAAAAAAAAAAAGTATGTTATGCTCATCGTTCCCTGTAAGAAAGTGCAGAGCCACCTCAGTGTTTGCCATCGTCACTGGGGGTCACAGCACGACCAACGTAATGTACTAAACTTGTCTCCTCCTGTCAAACACGCACGTGGCTCCCGCTAGCTTCCCTGCTACAGACATTGCAGCAGGGACATCCTTGTAAATGCACCATTGCACTTTGGGTATTTCTGCAAGACAAGTTCCTATAAGCACACTTGCTGGCTCTAAGCAATTTACATTTTGACAATGCCTAATCACTCCCCCCAAAGGCTCAGTCAATGTAGATTTCCACCCACCGTGTTTACATTCCCCCCAGCAAAGGTGTATTATAATTTTAAAAAATCGTTAATTTGATAGATGACAAAATGTGATCTCATTGTTGCTATAACTTGCTTTCCCTTTATTATCTGTAAGATTACTGCATTTTCATATCTTTATGAGACATTTGTGCTTACTCTGTGAACCACCTGCTTGTGTCCTTCACGCATTTCTCTTCTTCCAGTCCTCGGGAGCAGGGAGCTGAGTTTATGGCGTTCTTTATTTCACAGTGACCAGGGATCATCGATGGATACAAGGCCACTTCGTGGTTTTGATTTTGTTTTTGTTCTCCTTTATCTTTAATCCCCATTCCCATCCCACTTAAATATGAATGGATCCTTGGGAACGATCTAATATCATTTTTATGCATTTGTGGTTTTAGTGTATATAAATGGTATTATGCTATCAATCTCATTTTTGTTCCTTATTCTTTGAACACTATGTTTTTAAAAGCTATATGTTGATTCTGAGTATTGCCCTGGTGTTCCATAGTTTGCGTCCACTCCACATCACTAATCCGTTCTCCTGAAGATGGTGGCCAAGGTTGCCCCTGACTCCTGCTTCCGCAAAGGACACTGCCCTTGTACATTTCTCTTTGAACACCTGCACACGAATTTCTGTGGCTTATTTAACAAGGATCGAAAGTGCGGAGTCTTGGAAGAACTGTATACCTCATTTCAGGTTGCTCTCGAGAGCCTATACTGACTTATAGGCCTATAGACGTGACCAAAGATTTCTGTCTGCCCATACCCTCACCAAACATTGGTAGGATTCGTTTTATGAATTTTCACTCACCTGGTGGTTATAAAATGGTCTCATTGTAATTTTAATCAAATCGCACTGATTACTTCTTTGACCACATCGTCATCAATTTCTTGCCATATTGAGCCAAACCTTCTGTGAGTTGCCTGTTTATATTCATTGCCCATTTCTCTACTGTGTTTCCTGTCTTTTCCTTATTGGCCTGCGGGCGTTCTTTATTCACTAGATTGCAACCATCTATCTGTCAATATTAGCTCTGAGGGTCTTTGTGGAATAGAAATCCTTAAATCTGATGTAGTTGGATCCATAGATGTCTGAATAGAGGTTTGTGTTTTGGATGTCTTTTTTTTTTTAAGATTTTATTTATTTG